CATCTCATAGGAGTAGTTCTCTAGTGAGATGTTTCTCAATGACATTGCACTTGTCAGCCTTTCTCTTTGCTGATCTGACAATTCACTCTGAATGATGAAAAACTGTGCAATGAGATTATCCCCGCTGTCTGTCCTGCATTCCTGTGATATATTGTCTGAGGACTGTTGGATCTTCCTCATTGAGCAGGGCTGGAGGCGGTGCTCGGACACCGGCTGCTTGCTGATGTCGAGCAATTGCGGCACGAAAAACGGCAGCCGCGGGGCCACGCAGAACAAGCGCGCGCCAGGGAGGAACCGAGCCCGGGACCACCCGCTTCAGAAACGGACGCGAGACCACTGGGCCACCAAAATGGCGGCGGGACCCCGCGCGCCCGCGGCCCACGCGCGGGCAGGAAGCCCCGCCCTGGAAAGCGCGCAAGTTTAGCGCGTGGCAAATTTTGGCCCCGAACTTGGATTTGGGCAGCTGTGGAGTCAAAAGAGCAGGCCACCATGGAGCTCGGGGCTGTGCAGGGGGACCGCTTCACGTTTCCTTCCTTGAGGAACACCGCGGACTTGGATGCTGGGGCAAAGCTCACGTACTACACGCCAAAAACATCCGAAACAGATTCTTGCATTTGCGTCCTGTACGGACTGTCGAAATGATGGGGACTGTGCCGTAAAAACTGGCATCAAGTCCATCCATGCTGCCTTCAATCTCATAAGAAGGATTTCGAATTTTGAGGTAAAAATGAGGAACTCTTGGTTCTGCCTTCGATGATTGAAGAAACTGAGGAGCCTGTACAGATACACGTTGGTCGCACCTTTCAAAAAGTACTTCTTCAGCGTGTTCTTGAAGTAGTTGACTCCTTCATGAGGATCTTGCAGAAGGTCATTTTGGAGGACTGCCTTATACATATATGCATCTCCGGTGAGTCTGCTTTTGAGTAGTGGTCCTCTCTTGGGTGCTTCCACTCTTGCGATTGTCACCCAGTCGTCCACGAGTTCTTCATACCTGAACCAGCTGACTTTTCCGTCGTACGATGGCGGCTGCTTGGCGGTCATCGATAAATGGAGTGTTTCCTCCGTATAGCCTCGTGGCTTGGCCATACTTTAATAGGCTTCCATGAAGCCTTCTCCATCGGATGACATCTTCCCTTGGATCTCTGCGGAAAACCCGCTCCACTACCACAAATTGAGGCCGCCGGGGCACCTATCCCAGAAGGGAACTGGCACCCTCGTGGTAGTAGAGGTCGTTGCTTAGGTCCCTGGATCTATTCCGGAGAGAATCCAATATGCCACTATGGATGATTGGATTGTCCCTAATGGATTGTATTGTGGATAATCCTGTAAGCGGCCTGCAAAGGTTCCTTTGTCACGCAATCATGAGTATTGCTATGATACAGAAGGGCCTTGAGCCAAATGGTTGCAGGAGATCAATTGTGTAACAAACCAAACACAAAACAGACACAAATTTCTTTTGATCTCCAGCACTAGATATGAAATATTATTGGCTTCATGGCCTTTGGCCGTAGCCTTGCTGTATGCCGTAGCCATGTGTATTAAAATGCCGGATTCATTCTCTTCTCTGCTTGGATGAAATGTCTTGACTTGCAAAATGGGAAAACACTATGTACTGCTTCTGTGAGATACCTAGATGATGTATCAAAAGGTGATGCGCAACACTAGTCTCCATAATCATTCCAGGTCGAGTCGCCATAGTCCTTCCACTGCTTCTGATGTCCCCACTGCTTGTTGTAGTCCTTGTACTCCTGCGGGGTCCAGGATTGCTTCTTCTTGAGGTACTCCTTGGATCTCTCAAAGTTGCGTTGCCTGGTTGCAGATTTGCTGCGGCGTTCATCTCGTCATTCCGGAAGGCCTGCTGGATTTTCGTTTTGCCCCATCCAAACACGAAAGTCATCATCACATCTGGGAATGTTCGATCATATCCAGATCCACACTTCATGTACAGGTGATGACGGACATGGATTTTAGGGTAGCGAGAGCGCGCGCCCTTACGAAGACTAGCAACGGCCCGGGAGCGAGCAACCCCGGGAGCGACAGGGCCAAACCAGCCCAGGCACGGCCGGGGCGCAGCCACGCAGGGGCGCCCCTCGCGCCCCCGTTCGGGCCACCCGTCGTCTGGTTTTATTGGTACTTGCGTGCGTTTCAGCACAATTACTCCGCACTGCTTCTTCTTCTTCTCCGCAAGCACTCCGCGTCATTATGAGGGCGGCAGAGCCCGACACGGTACGTCGAGGAACAATGTAGCCTCATTTGCAAGGTGGAGCGAAGCATCTGGCACTCCTCCAAGGCTTGGAAAAAGCCATTTGGCCAGCGTTAGGGCTGACTCGACAGAGTGCGGCTGCCGGTTCTAGCTGGCATTCCCAACTCCTTCATGAACCTTCGGGCGTTCGGCATTTGCATGAAACTTCCGCGCCTTGTCTGGACGAGCGAGTGCGGTTGGAGTTGGGCGGGCGCTGGCGTTTGCGCCAAGCGCGTGTTTGTTGGAGAGGCGGAAGACCTCGTTTTGTGGGTTCAATTTGTTCAAAGTGCGTCAGGTCAGGGTGGCAGCGGCTGCTGCGCCGTGGCCAGGACCCTCTGGCGGCCCTAGCGTCCGGGAGATGGCTCTGTTGTAGCTACTTGCTGTGCTGCGCGCGTGTTGGCTGTCGTCGACATCTATCCATCGGTTTTTCTCGCTTCGGCGCTTCCTTCCCGGTGGATGTTTTTCGTCGCCAGATTACCCACGCGCTCTTGCGCGTGCCGTTTGGGGGGTTCGGTTGTGTCGATTGGCTCGTTGATCTGCTCTCTCTGTTTCGGTTGCGCCCTCTTTGGTTCGTGGGGGGCCGGTCCCTGTCGCGTTGAGCCACCCGGGCCGCAGTGATTCCACAGCTCGCCTGCCCGAAGCTACACTCCTGCGGGCAAAAAAGGGAAAGAGGGGTGGGGTGAGGGGACTTGGGGTTGGTTTGATCAGCCGGTGTCTGGATCGTTGCCTTGCTCGCTGCCTCTGCAGCTTCCTTACCGTACCATGACAGGTCTCGGAGGACTTCCTGGCTAAGTACAGAACGTTTTAGGGTGGTCTCACATCTTTTCTTGGTCACAAGATGGACAACGAAAAAGCATATTCAGCCAATACATTGACTGCAGGCCTCAGACGGGCAGGCACAAGCCCACAAGAACATCCCGAGTTGACACATGGAGGCCAGGCAAACACTTACCTTCAGCTGCTTTCTGGGGTTCCTTGCATGGGACGCGCAACACTTTCGCAAGGTCAAGCGCGTCTCGCGGCAGGCTTTCGTAAGGTCACGCGCAGATGTCAGCACAGGCGCAGCGCTTTCGTCACGTTGGCTGTCGTCCGGCGCAGATCCCGTGGCGCACGTAGAGCTGCCGACGGGCCCGTGTCAGAGCCTGCCCCAAACCCAGGCGACGCGATCAGGAAAACTGTTGTTGAGCGTTTTTTAATGGCCGCGGGTTTTTCCAGCCACACACACGCGTTTTTTTGCCGCAGTCTCTCGTCGTTTGTCTCAAAGAGCTAGGTTTCAACTGCTTGCCACAGCTCGGAAGCGACTACTGCTACTGCTACTACTACTACTACTACACTACTACTTTTACGCAGCTTTTCCAATGAACTCTCCTTCGAGCTGGAATGACTTGAAGTTTCCTTTTTGCGCGACCAAAAATTGGTTGCTGGTGAAGTGGGGGGGTTGTCTCGAAGGAGGTGGGGCCAGCCATGGCAACGTTTGCCTTTTGGATCCCCCGTCCTCCCCAAAGATAAAGAAGAAGAGAAAGAGAAGAGAACTAGAAAGAGAAAGAGAAAGAGAAAGAGAAAGAGAAAGAGAAAGGAAGAAGAGAGAGAGAGAGAAAGAGAAAGAGAAAGAGAAAGAGAAAGAGAAAGAGAAAGAGAAAGAGAAAGAGAAAGAGAAAGAGAAAGAGAAAGAGAAAGAGAAAGAGAAAGAGAAAGAGAAAGAGAAAGAGAAAGAGAAAGAGAAAGAGAAAGAGAAAGAGAAAGAGAAAGAGAAAGAGAAAGAGAAAGAGAAAGAAAGAGAGAGAGAGAGAGAGAGAAAGCAAAAAGAAGGAAGGAAGGAAGGAAGGAAGGAAGGAAGGAAGGAAGGAAGGAAGGAAGGAAGGAAGGAAGGAAGGAAGGAAGGCAGGCAGGCAGGCAGGCAGGCAGGCAGGCAGGAAGGAAGGAAGGAAGGAAGAAAGAAAGAAAGAAAGAAAGAAAGAAAGAAAAAGAGAAAAAGAGAGAGACAGAGATTTGAAAAAGAGAGAGAGAGAGAGAGAGAAAAGAAAAGAGAGAGAGAGAGAGAGAAGAAAAAGAGAGAGAGAGAGAAGGAAAAAAGAGAGAGAGAGAGAGAGAGAGAGAGCGAGAGAAAAAGAGAGAGAGAGAGAGAGAGCAAAACAAAGAGAGAGAGAGAGAGAGGAAGAAAAAAAAGAAAGAGAGAGAGAGAGAGAGAGAGAGAGAGAGAGAGAGAGAGAGAGAGAGAGAGAGAGGAGCGCTTGGGGTCATAACCCTTTCGATGCCGTTCGTCTCCAATCCTTCATCCACAGAGGCTACGTCATGTCATTCAGCTGTTACATTTCTCGATTCCCCACAAAAGCAATCACTCATGCCGTGCGCAGGCAATTCTGTCCCCGTCACACATCAAAGGCTGTTTGGGGTAGCTTCTCAGGAGTTTTGTCCAAGGCAACCATTGTTTACAATGAAAGTGCTAGAGGCCCTTTCTGCAGCTGGAGTACATAATCAAAGCGAGATTTTGCCCCGACGCAAAACGTGACCAAATTTGTTGCCCAAATCTAGCCATCGATGAAGCAACCAGGAAGTACCCTTCCTCCAACAATCATGGAAGCTGACACTAGGATTTTGCAAGACTACTTTCCTGTTGGGGAAGCCCTTCTCCACTTCCATGATTGTTAGAAAGAGGGTGGTTCCCAAAAGAACTCGGATGTGCCGTTTTGACAATAGGCGCTGACAATCGGCTGATAGGCAGCCTCGATATGGGGCCCCAGATCCCACACCGCTTGCCTCAAAGCCAAGTCCTAAACTCCTTTGAGTAGACGCTGCTTGCATCGGTGACACAGGCTGATGGACGCCCCCTTCTCGCAAATCCTGCCCAAACTGTCCAGCTGCCATGGGATGAAATTTGGCTGAGCCGCTGCGCCCGCATCTGCTGCGCCATGCCGCGGAAAGGCAACACACGATTCTGAGATCTGGCAATGCCTGGCCGGGCCACGCTCGCACATCTGGCGTCGCTCAACGCTGCATCTTGAGCGGCCCTGCGCTGACAGAAAGTCTTCAAAATCCGACCGACTGCGAGTTCGGCGCAGTGGCCCGAATCACACACCTTGCACAAGGAGGTTGACTTTGGACTCTCCGCGGGCCCAATAGTTCCGACCACGGAGACTTCCATAGCGCAAGAGGGCCCAAGAAGGCTGGAGCTCTGAAAGCCTCCTAACAACAGACAGAAGGAAGGCTTCAGCTGAAGATTGAAAGACAATTCCACGCGTACCATGCATGACGGCCTGCGCCAGCGGCGTGTCGGCACAAAATCTTGATGCCAGCCTGCATCGTTGGTGATTTGGATTGAGAGTGCCTACGGAAGGCCTCTGTTAGACAGGTGCTCAGCCCCATTTGAGCAAATGGGTCACAATCAAAACCTGGTACAAACATGGTGAACCCACAACCATGTAAAGATTTAGAACGGCGGAAGCAACTATTTCCGGCTGGGACTGCCCCTTGCTAACCTTCATCTACCCGGGTTTTGATTGTGGCTCAAGTGAAGCATCGCAGCGCTTTGGGCGCGGTCAGTCCCTCTCAGCCAGTGGGAGCCATTCTGGCCTTGTGCGGATTGTTGTGGGTCGGCTGTTGTTTCTTGTTTGCCTGGCTCTGAAATCGACTTCAATCAAGGTCGCATCAGTCTGCCAGTTCGGCGCAGTGGCCCGCATCACACACCTTGCACAAAAAGCACCTTGCCCCTCAGCAAGGAGGTTCACTTTGGGCTCTCCGCAGGCCCGATATTTCAGACCGCGGAGGCTCTCATAGCGCAAGAGGGCCCAAGAAGGCTGCAGCTCTGAAAGGCAAAGCCTCCTGACAAAAGACAGAAGGAAGGCTTCAGCTGAAGATTGAAAGACAATTCCACGCGTACCATGCATGACGGCCTGCGCCAGCGGCGTGTCGGCACAAAATCTTGATGCCAGCCTGCATCGTTGGTGATTTGGATTGAGAGTGCCTACGGAAGGCTCTGTTAGACAGGTGCTCAGCCCCATTTGAGCAAATGAGTCACAATTAAAACCTGGTACAAACATGGTGAACCCACAACCATGTAAAGATTTAGAACGGCTGCCGCAACTATTTCCGGCTGGGACTGCCCCTTGCTAACCTTCATCTACCCGAGTTTTGATTGTGGCTCAAGTGAAGCATCGCAGCGCTTTGGGCGCGGTCAGTCCCCCTGTAAGATAGCGATTGCTCTCTCATTTCGCCTATTTGGAAGGGAAACACGACAACGCCTCACCAAACCCTCCGCGCCCAACGGAGCCACACACCTTGCACAGAGAATGACTTTCATACCAAGCCCTGCAAACCTGCCCGCTGGAAGTGACCAAAGGCCTCCCGGTACTCAGCATCATGGGAGCGGTCAAAGCCTAGTTGCAGCCAGGCGCAAAAGCTTGCAGTCTTAAGCTGTGCGGGGCAAGACCAAACGGTTGGTGAGATGAGCTTTGACGCGGACTCACATGGATTAAGCATGATCCAGCGTTGGCAAACAAGTCTGCACTACCCGATCGTCTGCCCCGCAGCGAGCAGCTTTGACTTTGACCTTGTGCCTTTGCCTGAAATGTCAACTGTCGCGCTGAAAGCTTGCTTGGGATTTGTCCCTTCCCGGACCAGTGATTGTCTTACAAGAAGCGGGGTTGTAACCCGACTAATCAAAGGCCACTTCCTCCTTTCAGGTCTCTTCCGGGAGACGCCGCACGTTGCAGGCCAGGCTGGGACTGCCCCTCTGCGAATGACCCAAGACCTGCCATTGGTCAGCATCATGGGAGCTCAGAAGAGACTTTCATCCCAGTGCGCGACTTTCTGTGGGGACTGGACGTGCGGCCAGAGGTTGGATATGTTGAGCTCGCCCAGGAAGGCTGCCCGCCCCTGATGGCAGTGCGCATGCGACTCCCGTGGCCACGACAGTCTTGCAAACTGTCTGCAACCTTTCGCGCAGGTGGCTTTTCGGCAGCAATTCTGCTTGGACTGCGCAGAAGCCAACCAGGTGATTCGTGACAGAACTACCATGATGAAAGAATCCTTCAATATCGAAATGCCGTCAACTTGCCAGCTGACGCAGCTGGAAAGAAACTGCACCAACTAAGAGGAACACGGTGGGTTCCCATAGAGGCCAGCGGAAAGTCCAGTGTGGCGCCACCAGGATATTGTGCTCCCACCTCGCAACCTCAATTGGAATCCTTCACCTGCCAAGCTTGCCGACTCAACAAGTTGCCGCAACTTGCATTGCACATTCTTTGGAAGTCCTTTCTCAGCCAGTGGGAGCCATTCTGGCCTTGTGCGGATTGTTGTGGGTCGGCTGTTGTTTCTTGTTTGCCTGGCTCTGAAATCGACTTCCAATCAAGGTCGCATCAGCCAAAGGCGAAGGCAAAGCGGGTCGGCTGCTACCTTTTATTTGCTCTCTGGTGACCCTCCATTCTGGTTCACAAATTTTGCTCTAAGCACTGTCGCACTTGGCAGCTACAAGTCTTTGATTGATTGAAATGCCTCGCCAACAAACTTGACAGGCGATTGGGGCATCACGAAATCATACTGTCAACGGCCTTGCCCCCAAACAACAGGCACAGTATCTGGGCAAAGCGACATAGGGCGAAGCTGACCTCACGTCACATCCAGCATGGGTAAGCTCCTGCGTACCTGATATCACGGTCGACGCGCCATGGACTGGGGAGTTACAAGCTACAGCCAGCCGTTGTTCGCCAACACTGTGATTGCTGCTCACCAAATGCTCAGGTCACAGCTGCGCCGACTCCGGCATGCAAATTGCGCGGCCCAGCGTTGACAGAAAGTCTTCAAAATCCGACCGTCTGCCAGTTCGGCGCAGTGGCCCGCATCACACACCTTGCACAAAGAGCACCTTGCCCCTCAGCAAGGAGGTTCACTTTGGGCTCTCCGCAGGCCCGATAATTCAGACCGCGAAGGCTCTCATAGCGCAAGAGGGCCCAAGAAGGCTGCAGCTCTGAAAGGCAAAGCCTCCTGACAAAAGACAGAAGGAAGGCTTCAGCTAAAGATTGAAAGACCTTTCCATGCGTACCATGCATGACGGCCTGCGCCAGCTGCGCGTCGGCGCAAAATCTCAATGCCTGCATCGTTGGTGATTTGGATTGAGAGTGCCTATGGAAGGCCTCTGTTAGACAGGTGCTCAGCCCCATTTGAGCAAATGAAGCATCGCAACGCTTTAGATGCGGTCAGTCCTTCTGTAGGACAGCGATTACTCTCTCATTTCGCCTATTTGGAAGGGAAACACGATAGCGCCACACCAAGCCCTCCGCGACCCAGGGCTGAGTTCAAGGCCCAACCGAATCGCACACCTTGCACAGAGAATAACTTTCATACCAAGCCCCGCAAACCTGGACATCACTGCCCCGCTGCAAATGACAAAAGGCCTACCGCGGTCACACCCTTTTGGCAGCCAGGGGCAAAAGCTTGCAGTCTTAAGCTGTGCGGGGCAAGACCAAACGGTTGGTAGAGATAAGCTTTGACGCGGACTCACATGGATTAAGCAGGATCCAGCGTTGACAAACAAGTCTGCACTACCCGATCGTCTGCCCCGCAGCGAGCAGCTTTGACTTTGACCTTGTGCCTTTGCCTAAAATGTCAACTGTCGAGCTGAAAGCTTGCTTGGGATTTGTCCCTTCCCGGACCAGTGATTGTCTTACAAGAAGGGGGTTGTAACCCGACTAATCCAAGGACACTTTGTCGTTTCACGTCTCTTCCGGGAAACGTCGCACATGACGAGTCAAGCTAGGATCTTGACACCAGTCTCAGATGCAGTCTTCAGCTGCGAGGGGCAAGACCAAACGGTTGGTAGAGATCAGCTTTGACGCGGACTGACAAACAAGTCTGCACTGCCTGATCTTCTGCCACGCAGCGAGCAGCTTTCACTTTGACCTTGTGGCTTTGCCTGAAATGTCAAGTGTCGAGCTAAAAGCTTTCTTTGGTTTTGTCCCGTCCCGGACCAGTGATTGTCTTACAAAAAGCGGGGTTGTAACCCGACTAGTCCAAGGACACAAGGACACTTTATCTTATAATGTCTCTTCCGGGAAACGTCGCAGATGGCAGGTCAAGCTAGGATCTTGACAACAGTCTCAGCATCATGGGAGCGGTCAAAGCCTAGTTGCAGCCAGGCGCAAAAGCTTGCAGTCTTAAGCTGTGCGGGGCAAGACCAAACGGTTGGTGAGATGAGCTTTGACGCGGACTCACATGGATTAAGCATGATCCAGCGTTGACAAACAAGTCTGCACTACCCGATCTTCTGCCCCGCAGCGAGCAGCTTTGACTTTGACCTTGTGGCTTTGCCTGAAATGTCAACTGTCGAGCTGAAAGCTTGCTTTGGTTTTGTCCCTTCCCGGACCCGTGATTGTCTTACAGAAAGTCGGGCTGTAGCCAAAAACATCAACGGCCACTTCCTCATTTCACGTCTCTTCGTCAAGCTGGGACCTTGACATCTCTGCCCCTTCACAAATCACACAAGACCTGCCATTGGTCAGCATCATGGAAGCATCACACTCTATGGGAAGCCGGGCGCAAAAGCTTGTACTGCTTTCTGAAGCTGTTCAGGACAAGCGCAAACGGTTGGTAGAGGTGAGCTTTGACGCGAACTCACATAGGTACGACCTGCCAATTGTCAGAATCACGGGGCTGGCAAATCGGGTGATTCATGAAGAAACTACCATGGTGGAAGGGCCCTTCAACATCGAAATGCCGTCAACTTGCCAGCTGACGCGGCTGGAAAGAAACTGCACCAACTAAGAGGAACACGGTGGGTTCCCATAGAGGCCAGTGGAAAGTCCAGTGTGGCGCCACCAGGATATTGTGCTCCCACCTCACAACCTCAATTGGAATCCTTCACCTGCCAAGCTTGCCGACTCAACAAGTTGCCGCAACTTGCATTGCACATGCTTTGGAAGTCCTTTCTCAGCCAGTGGGAGCCATTCTGGCCTTGTGCGGATTGTTGTGGGTCGGTTGTTGTTTCTTGTTTGCTTTGGCTCTCAAATCGATTTGCAATCAGCGTCGCATCAGCCAAAGGCGATTGCAAAGTAGGTAGGCTGCTGCTTTTTATTTTGGCTTTTGAACGGACTTTGGACCGGCGTCGCACAAAGCCAAAGGCGACGGCAAAGTGACAGTTCTAGCTGTTTTTGGCGCGTACCCTCTTGGTGACCCTCCATTCTGGTTCACAAATTTTGCTCTAAGCACTGTCGCACTTGGCAGCTACAAGTCTTTGATTGATTGAAATGCCTCGCCAACAAGCTTGACAGGCGATTGGGGCATCACGAAATCATACTGTCAACGGCCTTACCCCCAAACAACAGGCACAGTATCTGGGAAAAGCGACATAGGGCGAAGCTGACCTCACGTCACATCCAGCATGGGTAAGCTCCTGCGTACCTGATATCACGGTCGACGCGCCATGGACTGGGGAGTTACAAGCTACAGCCAGCCGTTGTTCGCCAACACTGTGATTGCTGCTCACCAAATGCTCAGGTCACAGCTGCGCCGACTCCGGCATGCAAATTGCGCGGCCCAGCGTTGACAGAAAGTCTTCAAAATCCGACCGTCTGCCAGTTCGGCGCAGTGGCCCGCATCACACACCTTGCACAAAGAGCGCCTTGCCCCTCAGCAAGGAAGTTCACTTTGGGCTCTCCGCAGGCCCGATAATTCAGACCGCGAAGGCTCTCATAGCGCAAGAGGGCCCAAGAAGGCTGCAGCTCTGAAAGGCAAAGCCTCCTAACAAAAGACAGAAGGAAGGCTTCAGCTAAAGATTGAAAGACCTTTCCATGCGTACCATGCATGACGGCCTGCGCCAGCTGCGCGTCGGCGAAAAATCTCAATGCCTGCATCGTTGGTGATTTGGATTGAGAGTGCCTATGGAAGGCCTCTGTTAGACAGGTGCTCAGCCCCATTTGAGCAAATGAAGCATCGCAACGCTTTAGATGCGGTCAGTCCTTCTGTAGGACAGCGATTACTCTCTCATTTCGCCTATTTGGAAGGGAAACACGATAGCGCCACACCAAGCCCTCCGCGACCCAGGGCTGAGTTCAAGGCCCAACCGAATCGCACACCTTGCACAAAGAATAACTTTCATACCAAGCCCCGCAAACCTGGACATCACTGCCCCGCTGCAAATGACAAAAGGCCTACCGCGGTCACACCCTTTTGGCAGCCAGGGGCGAAAGCTTGCAGTCTTAAGCTGTTCGGTCTTGCCAAACGGTTGGTAGAGATAAGCTTTGACGCGGACTCACATGGATTAAGCAGGATCCAGCGTTGACAAACAAGTCTGCACTACCCGATCTTCTGCCCCGCAGCGAGCAGCTTTGACTTTGACCTTGTGGCTTTGCCTGAAATGTCAACTGTCGAGCTAAAAGCTTGCTTTGGGTTTGTCCCTTCACGGACCAGTGATTGTCTTACAAGAAGCGGGGTTGTAACCCGACACTTTGTCTTTTCACGTCTCTTCCGAGAAACGTCGCACAAGGCGGGTCAAGCTAGGATCTTGACACCGGTCTCAGCATCATGGGAGCGGTCAAAGCCTATTTGCAGCGAGGTGCAAAAGCTTGCAGTCTTTCGCTGTGCGGGGCAAGACCAACCGGTTGGTGAGATGAGCCTTGACGCGGACTCACATGCATTAAGCATGATCCAGCGTTGACAAACAAGTCTGCACTACCCGATCTTCTGCCCCGCAGCGAGCAGCTTTGACTTTGACCTTGTGGCTTTGCCTGAAATGTCAACTGTCGAGCTAAAAGCTTGCTTTGGGTCTGTCCCTTCCCGGACCAGTGATTGTCTTACAAGAAGCGGGGTTCCGACTAATCCAAGGACACTTTGTCTTTTCACGTCTCTTCCGGGAAACGTCGCACATGGCGGGTCAAGCTGGGATCTTGACACCAGTCTCAGCATCATGGGAGCGGTCAAAGCCTATTTGCAGCAAAGTGCAAAAGCTTGCAGTCTTAAGCTGTGCGGGGCAAGACCAACCGGTTGGTGAGATGAGCCTTGACGCGGACTCACATGCATTAAGCATGATCCATCGTTGACAAACAAGTCTGCACTACCCGATCTTCTGCCCCGCAGCGAGCAGCTTTGACTTTGACCTTGTGGCTTTGCCTGAAATGTCAACTGTCGAGCTAAAAGCTTGCTTTGGGTTTGTCCCTTCACGGACCAGTGATTGTCTTACAAGAAGCGGGGTTGTAACCCGACTAATCCAAGGATACTTTGTCTTTTCACGTCTCTTCCGGGAAACGTCGCACATGGCGGGTCAAGCTAGGATCTTGACACCAGTCTCAGCATCATGGGAGCGGTCAAAGCCTATTTGCAGCGAGGTGCAAAAGCTTCCAGTCTTAAGCTGTGCGGGGCAAGGCCAAACGGTTGGTGAGATGAGCTTTGACGCGGACTCACATGGATTAAGCATGATCCAGCTTTGACTCTTTGACTTGAACCAGTAATTGTCTTACAAGAAGCGGGGTTGTAACCCGACTCTTTCCACAATCGAAGTTCGCTTTGGTGTTCAGGAGGCCACCACAACGAGGCTTGGCAGCCACAAACTGAGCGAGAAATTGCTTCTGGCCATCCTCATATTCATCGCAGTTGTGTTCAGCGAGAACGGTCAGTCCAAGCGACTCATCAAACATGTGGCCACCAGAATCCAGTCCGAAGAAAGCGGGGTGTGAGTGTGCATGAACTCGAAAGAGGTTGAGATTGCTTGGACCAGCAGGCCACATTGTTGTGGGGCGGCTGTTGTTTCTTGCTTTGGCTCTCAAATCGACTTCGATCAGCGTCGCATCAGCCAAAGGCGATTGCAAAGTAGGTAGGCTCCTGCTCTTTATTTGCTTTGGCTTTTGAACGGACTTTGGACCGGCGTCGCACCAAGCCAAAGGCGACGGCATAGTGACAGTTCTAGCTGTTTTTTGGCGCGTACCCCTCCATTCTGGTTCACAAAATTTGCTCTAAGCACTGTCGCAGTTGGCAGCTACAAGTGTTTGATTGATCGAAATGCCTCGCCAACAAGCTTGACAGGCGATTCGGGCATCACGAAATCATACTGTCAATGGCCTTGCCCCAAACAACATGCACAGTATCTTGGAAAAAGCGACGTAGGGCGGAGCTGACCTCACGTCACATCCAGCATGGGTGAGCTCCTGTTGCAAGCTACCCACAGCGCTGCAGCCAGCAGTTGTGCGCCATGATTGCTGCTCACTAAATGCTCAGGTCACAGCCGTGCCGACTCAGGCACGTAAAATGCGCGGTCCAGCGCTGACAATAAGTCTTCAAAATCCGACCGTCTGCGGGTTCGGTGCAGTGGCCCGAATTATATACTTTGCACAACGAACACCTTGCCCCTCAGCAAGGAGTTTGACTTTGAGCTCTCAGCCCCGATCTTTCAGACCGCAGGGCTGGAGTTCTGAAAAGTAAAGCCTCCTCAAAAGACCAGCTGCAAGGGAATCTTTGCGTACCATGCTTGACGGCCTGCGCCAGCTGCGTGTCCGCACTAAAATTCAATGCCAGCTTGGGTGTGGGGAGACTGGAAGGTACACCTACTCAGGAGAAGTCATCTCTGCAGATCCATGATGCGAGCAAGGACTGACCTCACCAAGCGGGTCCCACTGTGCATTGGCGGCATGCTGCGCCACATTGTCTCGCGAAGCTTTGCACAATCGAAGTTCGCTTTGGTGTTCGGGAGGCCACCACAACGAGGTTTGGCAGCCACAAACTGAGCGAGAAATTGCTTCTGGCCATCCTCATATTCATCGCAGTTGTGTTCTGCGAGAACGGTCAGCCCAAGCGACTCATCAAAGATGTAGCCACCACAATCCAGTCTGATGAAAGCGGGGCGTGAGTGTGCATGAACTCAAAGGAGGTGAGATTGCCTCAGCCGGCGCGCCCGCGGATACTATACTTGACTCAACTATAGCATCCACCGATGGTAGAAGGCTTTGATTCCACGGTAAACCATAGGTGACTGATGAGGACTTCTTGTTGCACGTGCCTACCAGTGCCAAGTCAAGCGATATCGATTCGATTAGACGCATCAAAACAGCCACATTGAGGCAACAAAACAGGCACTTGGACTAGGCGGGGGGCGCAAAACTAGACTGCCATACTCGACACTTTTGTGGCCCGTCGCTGCACAGAGCTGCGGAACCCGAATTTCGCGCCCATCGGCAAGCTACGCAGCGGAGCCCTAGTTTCAGAAAACCAATAAACTGGTGCTGGAAACTTTTGCCCCTTGAGTTTTCATTTCAGCCCTCTCATTGGTGCGTGCAAACCTTGCTGCAAAGGCTGAATCACCGTGAATGTACATTGGTGCATTTGAGGGTTTCCACACAGAACAAACGAGTAGGATACAACAGAAGAGTATGTGTCAAAAGCGGATCCCTCGAATTCTGGTCTTCCTTTCGAATTTCCCTTTAAAGCCAAGGTCCCCAACAAATGACGCGCACCAATATGCTCTCAGGTCGCGGCGACTCAGCCGGCTGCCAAAATCAGCAGCGGCACGTTCGGCGGTGTAGGCCTCAAGTTCTGCTCAAGGGGTCCGTAAGCATTGAACCCGAGGCGGCTTGTCAACCAGTTCAGCCAAAAGCCACCAAACCAAGCACCAAACCAAGCACAAAGATAGAAACATTGAAAATGCAACATGACTCCTCGGAATTCGATTTTAGTATTGCCAGCTCTTATTTGTGTATTGCCCGTGAATGTCACAGGCCAACAAAACGCTACCATAGCAAACAACAACAAGTTTAGTATTGCCAAAACAACTTAGTATGTCCAATAGGAATAGGGAATGTAGTAGTGCCAGTACAAAATTTAGTATTGCCAATACTATATGTAGTACTAAAAACAAAAGGAACTGTTTAAAATCCATACAAACACAAGACCTGGAAGGATTTTTGGTTTCGAGAAGGGGGTAGCTCTGCCAGTCCAGAATGAACCCTCTCACGGAAAGCCCAAAGATTGAAACTTCAGAGTTGCGCGCGGTCGGGAAAACGAGCCCTGAGAATACTACTTGCCAGTCCTATATCATATCATATCTATTACTTTTTGGAGAAGATTTGACTTCTTTACATTCCATACTACAAATAAACATATCGGATGAATTCTCGGCTTCACACATGGGGGCTTTGGACTTCTCGCGGTCGGGAAAAGGACCCGAAGCCCCGCCAGTCCAGAATGAACCCTCTGATAAGCACAAAATGGAAGCTTTGGAACTGCACGTCGGAAAAATGGGTCCAAGTACGACTTTAGTATTGCCAAACACAAGAATATACAAGAATCGCTTTGCAGTGTGGAGTTCAAAAAAGTTCAAACGCTACTGAAACACACTAGATTTGGTATTGGCAATACCAAAATTCGTACTGGCAATACTAAATTCATTGCGTGTTTTTGGTCGCAGCCAGTTTGCTAAGCTGCAATCTTGCAACCCGGCCTTGCTCATCGGCAATGCTGTTTGCTGCTGGCAGCGCAAGCTCCCTGGAACAACCATCTCCTCCAACTGGCACTGTGTGAACTGAAGCCCGAGATCGGCGTCCGATTTGCAATCGGCTCCTGAATTCCTTGCCGACGGCTTCATGACCATCCCACGTAACCCACACTTCGCAGCGACACCAAACAATGGTTCGAGGGATGTTTTTCGAAACTCTTATAAGCACATCCTTGCCAAACTAGGTTGTTCGAAATGGGGGATCCCAAATCCCAACCTATCATCCACCGTATCATGCTCGCTACCATATTAAGACCTGTTGGCACTGCTCCCAGCTTGAAATCTAAACAACCCTCACAAAAGAGAACCCACGAAGCGAGAAAAACGCGCAGTCCTTTTTAACCGGGTTGTTAAGGCATGTTGCACTGCTCCTATCTTGAACCCAAACCAGACCACCCAAAAGAACAAAGCAAGTCCGAAGTGGCCGCAGTTCTTTTAACCGGGATTGCTGAAAGTAGCACTGCTTCCAGGGCACGGATGCGCCTGGAGCAGGAGGTGCGTTGACCCCCCGTGAAACTTAAAGGCAAGACAATGCGTGTCCTTGCAGGTGCGTGCAGTGCGCGCAAGGCGTGGCAAGCGTGCCCACGCCGGTCCGGAGACCTGGTGGTCCTGAGACCGTGGGCGGTCCGGAGACCCGGAGGTCCGGAGACCATGGATGGAAATGCAGAGCATCTGCAACTTCCTTTGCAGAGCCTTATAGAAAAGGCAATGCAGGGTGGGTGGGTGGGTTTCAAATGAAACAGATCAGGTTTGGGTCAAGGCTAGGAGCAAAACGGCCACCGCGGAAGTAGATTCACAACATGCCCTAAACACAAGGGAAAAGAAAACCCTAAGCGTTAAGGCATGTTGCACTGCTCCTATCTTGAACCCAAACCAGACCACCCAAAAGAACAAAGCAAGTCCGAAGCGGCCGCAGCTCTTTTAACCGGGATTGCTGAAAGTAGCACTGCTTCCAGGGCACGGATGCGCCTGGAGCAGGAGGTGCGTTGACCCCCCCCTTCAGTGTTTCAGGCAACCCCGGTATAAGCGAGCCAGCTGGGCCGCCGGCCTCATCACCCCCCCTTCAGAGTGGGGTTGTACCTGGCAGGGCAAATGTCGCACGACATTGCATTTACATGCTTATGAGCATTTGCTGTTCTGGGACTGCTCATTTTCGCCAAAGCGGCTTGCTGTGAAGCTGCTGACAGATGCAGCCAGATATTCTGGTTGCCAGGGCGATGTCGGGTCGCGACGCCTGTTGGAAGGCAGCAAGGCTTGTCTACACGCAGCTGGCAGCAGCTGCCAGGTGTTCCGGGCGCCACGGCGCATCAATCAGACACAGCTGGATGCCTCTGCCTGACAGCGCAAGGCCTGCGGGGCTGAAGCGTACGCGACTCTCTGGGCGATGGCTGAATCGGGCTAGCCGACCTCTGCTTGGGTCGTCTGCCCAAGTTCCTGCCTGGAACATGTGTGGGCTGCAGCAACACATTGTGTGCATGCGCCCAGAAGGCTGTGAGCTGCACGAAGAGTTGCAGCGGCCAAGAAGTCGTGAACAACTTGTTAAGGCTTGCTTCTGTTGCCGAGTTATCAGTGCCTGAAGGCATGCTGAATGAGTAGTGCCCACCACCAATGTGGCTATGGGTGGCCTGCAGCAGCGCCAACTGCGCCAGCGTTTCGAAACATGCGATGTAGCGCTGTCCAGGCTTGACAAGGCAAGGCCATACTGCCCGTATGTCCTGCATGTTCCAGGTTTCGGCAAACCAAACCACTTGTGATGAAGTGATTGCCCAGCCACCTATACCTACCAAGTCGCCTTCGGCACAGGCATCTGCGGCTGCCAGTGCCTGCAGCTGGTGTGGCCGTGCAGCTAGCAAGGCATTGCTGGCTCGACTTGGAAAGGCTAGTATAGGGGTTATTTGGATCTGAGACACGTACCCACGTGGGTTTGCTGGTGCCTGGCACACGCGGGACGTCCTGAGGGCAATGCATGCGGCCTGAAATTTCGAGAGTTTTGGGCTGGGAAGGCTATGGCTGGTCTTGAGGTCCTTGTTCAAGGAGGCTCTGAAGGCTGACCGGTATCGAGTGCATCGAGCCCGGAGGGCTGTTGAGATCAGAGTAGAGCGGCGCTAGCCAAGATCTGAGATGCAAGGCAATGCTGGTGGCCCAAATGAGTAGGCCTATGCACTGCTCGAGTGTCTTACGTAGTACTCGTTTGCTTCCCAGCAATGCTTTGATCAAGGCGTCCAGCTTGATCAGCTTAGCGGACACAAGCTGAATGGTATCGTGGGAGAAGTTGATCTCCCAGCCACACCAAATGAGGCTGTCCTGAAACTGCGCCTTTTTCCACGAAATGGGCGCAGCAATTGCGCAGAAGAACAGCACCACTAAGGCGAACATGTCCGAAGCGCTGTCTCGGACGAGTGCGCACAG